GACCCCCAAATACAATAGTCCTTAATCTAGGGACCCCCAAAAAGGAACCCCTAATTGTGGAAAACCACCAGTTTAACAGGTTTCAACGAGGATTCCTATGGTGCAAAACCCATATCACCCACCATCGACGGTAGTTAAATGGCCCTTTCTGTCGTGCTCCTGTGTCTTGTCAAATTTTCATTCCAAGCACCATGATAGCAATCGTGATGATCACAACAAGCCTCTGTAACTGTCTGTAAAGTACAGTTTGCGTGAACATCAAGGCAGCCATGACGACAATAACGATTAGTTTGGAGAAGGTCAGCCTGCAAGCATTCATGCCTGATCCCAACCTCTTGCAACAGCATCTTGCACCCTATGCGATTTAAACATGTAATATTGGTAATAATAGCCATAAAAGTAGTATTAATAATGGCAACAATGGTAGTAGTTGTCAAACGGTGACAATAGTAATAATTGTAATAGCAGTAGTAATATTTCTCATTGACCAGCAAAGGAAGATGACCTGGCAACTTGGTTGCACGCGGCCTTCTGCCTCCAGGTGTGATCTACAGGTGTCGGTATTGTAGAGACAGCGTTAGGGGTTGTGACCACCGCAAACTGGGTGCATTGTCAAGATGTTGATTTCTGGGTTGGAGCCTTCATGAAGATTATAATGAGGTTTCTGGCTGTCTCTGCAGACACTGTTTGACGAGGCATGTCGACCAGCTACGCTCGCCCAAACAAGCATGGGGTACCGATTGCCCGTGAAGGCTTTCTCATGTCGGAAGAAGATATGGCTTGCTGTAGGTGTCATGATAAGGGTGTGTTCCTCCACAATGCGTGCCGTTCGGTGTGTAGCATGCTACCACTACGGTTTTCGTAGAGGGCAGAACCATTTTGTGGACGACGCGCTCGAGATGCAAGTTCTTCCTGCCTGCTTCTGCCTGCTCTTTCGCGCTGGCATTTTCTGGTCTTTAGGAGCAAGCAGAGTCTGCCATCCAGTACGCTCCACAAATTCACAATGGTTTTCGCCGTGGTTTCAGTGTTCAGCTCCATGTGCGTGACATACGCTCCAAGTTTTGGGACACTGTGCCCTGCCGCCAAGCCAAGCAGGAGGGAAACGCATGGAACCCCAAATAGTCCCTTCAAGAGGGACAGTAGTCTACAGGGAAATCCTTGTGAGGTTTCATGATAGTTTGGGGGGTCCCTATGATATCCCTATGTAATCAATGCAATCCCTATATGACCTCTTTAAGGGGATCCTTTTATAGAGCCCTTTTTGAGGTTCCAGGTTAGCTTGGCGGAGGGCGGAGGGTACCATTCGAGTGATCCGTTGAGTATGGGGTGAAGGATGGTTGGAGGGTCAGGCGGGCTCAGCAAGTAGGGTTTAGTGAACCTTGAGAAGAATTATAGGGATGCAATGGGCTCTAGGGTTAGGTAGATTTAGCAAGTAGGATAACAATGGAAATGAAAACGGAAACTGTTGAGGGTTTAGGGTAGGGTCAGGGGGGGGGACTTAGCAAGTGGGTTAATGATGGGGAGAACCGGGGTTATTATGATATAAGGGGCTGTGAAGATACAAAGTCCCCCATAGTTTGGGTCATTCCCCCGCCAAGTAACTGTCCTTAAAGGGGGCCTTATTCAGGGGCTATTATAACTCCTATT